TCTACTGTTTACTCAGACCAGCCCTGTTAAAATGAGGGAGGAGGCTTCACAGGGTGTGAATACCAGGAGGCGGGCATCATGGAAGGTAATCTTGGAATCTGACTGCCACTCTTTCCCTGTTCAGTATTGCCCTATAGAAGTCAGGGGCCAGCCTAAATTCTTTCCCTTGCTAGTAGTTTACCTATAAAACCTGATGCCTTGGGGAAAAAAATTTATTTTTAGAACTTGTTAGTTTGTGAATTGAATGTTTTATATCATGTGTTTTGGGGGGGTGATATTTTGTTCTGCAAACTCAGTTTTTGGCTCATATTAGAAATATTGAATTATATCTTTGAATAAAGCTTTTCTTGCATTTTTTGCTTTTCTCCTTCAAGAACATTAGTTATATTTATTTTATCTTCCATAGCTATTAGCCCCTTTCTAATTGCTCCAATCTTTGATTTTTTTCCATCCTGCTTTCATGATTATCTCCTTTAGTAATGTAGTTTTCCCCTGCATTTATTGCATCCCTCTACTATTTGTTATTAATTCATTTATTGTGTATTAATATCATTTTGGTCTTCATTTTTTCTTTTAGGAGTACACGATCTCTGTCTTCAAAATATCATTCTTTAATTTTATCATTTTAATTGAGAGTTAGTGATTTATTCACCTATGTTTTCCTTAAGCTGTTTTATAATGTAAAACAATTGTGAGACATTTTCTTCTGCTGCACACTTTATAATATGTGGCCCTAAGTATCTCCCAGTATGATTTGGTGAGACTAACAAAAGTGAGAGAATAAAGAAATAACATTAATTAATCCTTGCAACTTTCAAATCTTTCAGGTTTGAGGCACCACAAATGAGTGATTTTTTCCCTCTCAGCTCTTGTGAACATGAAGAGGGGATGCATAACACTTAAGTAGCTACCTGGCCCTACCAGTTTTGAGATGTCAGTAGGAATCTGGAAAACACAACCTGAGCACATGTTCAGTTGAAGGAAATTAGCATTAATGTATAGTTCTTTATTTTCCTCCCTAAAATTATAAAATCATCAATCCATCTTACCATAAACTCCTGGAGATTATCCAAATTCTTCCATTGGAATTTTGCCATATCAAATATTGTTTAAAACAAGTAAACTATCTGGAGGGAGGGGCTAGGGGGTATCACTTTGATTGCTAACCCTTATAAATCCAATTGACTTGTCCTTTGTCCATTCACAATTTTATGGAAATCAAAGTTAGCAAGGTGTTCAATCAAAACATCTGAAACAGTTATTGCCATTGATTGCACCATCAGTAATTTCTAGCACATATTTCCAGAATTGTTTTATGTATATAAACCCAAACATATATTTATTTTTTAAAACATTCACACATACACATAAATGGTGATATACTAAAGATACTTTTTTTGTATTGGAAATCTTTTAGTATCAGAACATAGAGATTTAATTCAATTTCTTTTAAAAAGTGCTATCATTTAGTTATCCTCTCTGCAGATAAATTTCATTTTCTTTTTTGCACATATAAACACTGCTGTAATAAGCATCTTTGTTCATATACCTATGTGTGCATACTTGAAAGGATGCCTATATGACAAAGTTCCCAGAACAAATTCATGCAATTCTTTTTTAATATTTTTATTTATTTATTTTAAAGATTTTATTTATTTTTTAGAGAGAAAGGAATGGAGGGAGAGAAACATCAATCAGTTACCTCTTACACACCACCAACGGGGGACCCAGCTTGCAACCCAGGCATGTGCCCTGACCAGGATTCAAACCAGCAACCTTTTGGATCTCAGGCCAGCACTCAACCCACTGAGCCGCAGCAGTGAGGGCTCAAATTCTTAATGGAGGTTAGATATGACCCACCAGGCATTATTCTGCTCTGAAATCACAGTTGCTGCTCTGTAAGAGATGCTTCAATTTGCCTGTGTCTTTTGAGCCTGAGCAACTCAAATTTTAGAGGAGTTTATAATAATATGGGTTCTCCTTCACAATGCCTAAAAATCCCTGAAAATTGTGGGGTTTTTTTTCTTTTTCATATCATAATTTCTAGTTGGTACTTTAAAAAAAACTATTTTTTTGTACTGGAATTATGTAATTAGTGAACTGAATATCATTTATTAAATCTCCGGGATACTTGGTTCACCCAGAAGTGAGTCACATCTGGGCCTGCGCAGAAGACTGAGTATAGCACCATGTCTGCCATCCATGGTGTTCTAGGCCAGTCTAGGCTGTAAAGTGAGGGGCTGTAATTAAAGACTAAGTTAAAAGTGGGCAAAGCTACTTATTGCATGGAATAGGGAGAGTGAAATCTTCACCTTGCTTCTCACCTACAATAGCAGTATTAGCACATTGCTTCGCTCATGCTATAGACTGAATGCTTGTGTCCTCTCAAAATTGCCATGTTGAAATCCTAACTTCCAATGCGACGGTATTAGGAGGTGGGCCTCTGGGAGGAGATTAGATCATGAGGGTGGAGCCCTCATGAATGGGAATAAGGCACTAATAAAGGGGATCCCAGAGCTCTTCCACATCCCTTCTATCATTTGAAGGCATTGTGAGAAGGTGGTTCTCCCTGAACCAGGAAAGAGGCTCACACCAGACACTAAATATGCCAGTACCTTGATCTTGGACTTCCCAGCCTCAAGAACTGTGAGAAATAAAGTTATGTTGTCTATAATCCACCCAGTTATCATATTCTGTTATAGCAGACTGAGCAGATTAATATGGTGTGTAATAAGCTCTCAGTAAATGTTAACTAAGGACTTTATAAGCATTAGGCTATCTAAATCTTTACCACAATTCCATTGGTAAGGACTATTAAAATTCCCATCTTATAAATACTCGAATGTATGTCAATATTAATATGCGTAGTTAATGGCAAAGTCGGAGTTTGAACCCAGGTCATCTGGCTTTCTAGATTAGACAAAGGAAGTGTTGCCTTCTGCGTTAGACACTGTCTCCATGGCACATGTCTGAAAGTTCAACAGCAACGGCAGAAACTTCTGCATCCACTGACATCGCAGTTGCTGCTCAGCAGACTGGAAGTGACTAGAATCATATTTAATGACTCTGGAGTGAGCTGGAGCAGGAGAGGGAAAAAACGGTTCCAAGAGGAGACCAGGTTGCTTATGGAAAACAGTCTCTAGACCCTCCTAGAACACTTCTGGAGGAATATGAGAAAATTGGAGCTCCCAAAGGATAAAAGGAACGGATCTGGGGAAATAAAATGTGTGGCTGCCTTTGCCCATAGTTTTACCGTAGGTTTGGCTTACCTAAATGTAAGTACATGTACATATGCTGTTCCTGATATACTTGAGAACCAAGATTTTTAGACCATATATGACCACAAAGGTGTGGATGAGAAAAAGGGGTTCTACGGAATGTAACCTCACAGGGTGAGCTGGCCCTAACTCCCTAACTGGGCAGGTCATCGTGGGTAGTCACGCCCCAGGCATATAACTTTTTTAATAAAAGGTTTAGCTCTGCCTCAAGCAAGCCCTGTCCATTGTTCTTGTGCATTTAGGTTAACACACGTTGAAATGCCAGAGTAATCCTCCTTTTTCAGACCCATTGGAAGCAACCACCTTCAAGGGAACCTATAATTTTGTTAACTACCCAGTAGTCCAATCCCTACCTTGCTTTCTCCTCACTTTATGTAATCTTCCTTATGTTCTCGTCCTAATTCCAAATGCAGGAAATAAACTGCCACTGTCATGCTCCAAAGCACTTGAGATCTGGCTTTCTGGCAATTGTCATCAGTTTGGCAGAAATGTACACTGATAAAATTTCACTACAGGTTTGGACATTTGTTATGGTGACAAAAATGTTAATTCTCAACACTTCCTCAGTAGGGTGTTAGAAAAACCTGTAGCTGAAAGTAGGATAAACAGCTCGGCCTTGTTCTCTTGATTGTGCTGCCTCTGAATCACCTGCTGATGTTTCGAAACTCTGACCAGTTGCTTCCTAGTGGTATCATACAGGCTCATGCCAGACTGGGAACTTCCTGGTATGCAGCTAAATATAGAAGCTGTATAAAATTCACAGTCTACAACCAGTTCAAAGTTCATACAGAAACACTCAGATTTTCATCTGTGTTATGCTAATTATTTGAGATGTTTCTGCTTCTGTTTGCTACAGTCAGCTCTGTGTACTGCTTCCTTTTTGCTCCCACTGGTAGGAGGTAGGGGGAGGGTTTTAGTGATAGCTTGCTTTTGGAGGGAGTGCCAGGTGAACGGCTTCTTGTGGACTCTCCCACTATTTCAAGCCATTTACTTTGGTTCCTTGGGGCACTACTCAACAGCATTGCCTTACCTCCGTCTAATCTCCATATTTGTAATTATTCATAGCTTGAAGCAGGAAATGTATTTGCCTATGAAGAGCAAATTGAAACAATGAGGATTTGGGGTCTGATGGCTTTAGATTTTAGTCTACCAGCGGTGTCCAACCTGCAGCCCAGGATGGCTATGAATACGGCCCAACACAAAATCATAAATATACTTAAAACATTATGAGATATTTTTGTGATTATGTGTCATAATGTATTTAATGTATGGCCCAAGACAACTCTTCTTGCAGTGTGGCCCAGAGATGCCAAAAAGTTGGATACCCCTGCAACCATCTTCTTCTAAAGACTCTTAACTGTTTTAATCCTCGGTTTCCCGAGCTGTAAGATGGCAATTAAATGACACCCAGCAACAATTCCAAAAAGTTCCTACTTCCCTTTCTGTTATTAAATGTTTTAAACACTTAGAAGGAGAAGAGTGTTCTTTCATAGTTATTTATTTATTTATTTATTTTTAAAGATCTTTTTAATTTGTGGAATGTAGTGTTGGCAAATGAAGACTAGAGTGAAAAAATAAAATGGAGTCACTATAGTCAAGTTGTGAAATTACTGAAATCAAGTAGGTTGAGGTATGAAGAAACAATTCTATTCTTGTTTTAACTAGCCTGGGAACTTACAGTTTTGAATTTTCCAGTCTCAGTCAATGGACTGGAAATACATTGACTTAGACTGGAGCACATATTCTAAAATCAGAACAATACGGAGAAAATTAACATGGCCCCTGTGCAAGGATGACATGCAAATTTGTGATGTGTTCGGTATTAGAGAAAAAAGAAGAAGAATGAAGAAAGAAAGAAAGGACTGAAATAAAAAGGATTTCTATGGAAAGTAACCTCCCAGGGTGATCTGATCATAAACTTCTAACTGGGCAGGTCATGGTGGGTATTCATGCCCCAGGCATGTAATTTCCTTACTCAAAGGCTTATTTTTGCCTTAAGCCAGCTTGGTCCATTGTTTCTGTGCATCTAAGTTAATGCACCTTTGCAAAACCCCCACCTTAGACCCCTCCTTCTAAGGCATGAGAGCACATAATCTTAACTGGCCTGTAAGCAAGGCCTTACCTTGCTTCCTTCTACCTTCAGGTAATCTTCCTTATATTTCCTCCTCAATTTCAAATGCATAAAAGAAATTACAAAACTTATTCTTGCTACCTGGCATATGCTGTCAGTTTGGCTGAAATTAACTTGGAAAAAACTGTCCACAGGTTTGGATGTTTCTTAGTCAACAGTACTTTTTACTCTAATGTTACCAGACTCAAGGGGTCCGTTTGCCTGCATGCATCAAAGCCCAATAAGACAGGCACAGGAGTTTGCAGCAAAGAAAGTAAAGGTTTATTTTTAGGAAGTAAGGGTTTGTTTTTAGGAAGTAGCCCATGCCCAGAGACAGGAGAGTTAATGCTCAAAGGCCTGGCTTCCCAAAAGCTTCCAGTATATGGGTTACACAGGGGAAAAATCATTGATCATGGTGACTAAGGGAGTTAGGGTTGTGATCAGGGTTGTGGTCTTTACTGATTGGATGGTGCTAGGATAGGGAGGTAGCTGATCAGTGCATCTGATCCTGGTGTCAGCCATGGAGTTGCTTTGTCTTGTTTTCCCATTTTCTGGGTCTGGAGCGGAAACACAACTGAGGCCTAGATGTTATCTCTAGTTTGACAGAAACTCTGCCTCTCTGGTTAACAGACCCAAGGTTTTATTCCTAAGATTATTTGATGCTATTCAGAACATTGTTGCCCTGAGTGATCCTGTAAGGGAGAAGCAGGCAGGTGAGTCAAGGTGCTGGATGAAGCCAGTTTGAATCGAAAGGAAAGAAAAGAGTAAAGGTCATAAAGAATTGTCTCTGTGCAGTTATACTAAGACCCTTCAGCTTGTCTTTCTTCTCTGGGACACTCTGGGTATTAGGTGTCTAGTGTTGTTTTGGGTATGCAAACCCTAAGGCTCTTCAATAAATTTTTATCATGTATTTCTAGCAAAGCCTCAAGAGTCTTTTTGAGTTTGACAGAACTAACATTTTTATTTAGGGTTGCAAGAAAACTTGAGCTTCTCTGAAATTTACAGTTCATTGTGCTGTTTACCATTGCCTTCTGATAAAAATTTTTTAAAAATTAAATTTGCTCAGAGGTTTCACTGTCTATTTCAAGTGATTTTCTCTCTGGTAATGATTTTCCTCAAACATGGAATTCTTGAATGTTTTGGAGTTTTTGAAAATAAATGATAATTGGAAATTTATTCAAAAGGCAGATGATGGTGAACTAAGAACTAATGACAATTTTTTTATTGTGGTAAAATAGACATAGCAAAAGTTATTATTTTAACCATATTTAAATGTATAGTTCAGTGGCAATAAGTACATTTGCCGTGTTTTGCAGCTATTGCTACCAATTCATCTCTAGAATGTTTTCATCTTCCCCAGTTGAAATTCTGTACGTATTAGGCAATAACTTCCCATTTTCCTCTACCCTGGTCAACGTAAGAACATCCAAACCTGTAGAGAATTTTAATAAGAGTTCATTTGAGCCAAACTCATGACAGTTACCAGGAAGGTAGATGTCAAAAGCTCTAGAGAATGAAAATGTTGCAGTGTTTCTTTAAGCATTTGGAATTAACGAGGGGAAGTAAGGCACAGCATGTGAAGGAGGTAGAAAGCATGATTGGCGCTGGATTCCAGGCCAGTGAACAAGAGTGTGTGTTGTCTTGGGGGTGGTTAAGCTTTCGAGGGGTCTGAAAAAGAGTCATTTCAAAGGTGTGTCAACCTAGATGCACAAAAAAGCACAAGGCTTGCTTAAGGCAAAAATAAACATTTTACTAAAAAAATCATATGCCTGGGGCCTGACTACCCACCATGACCTGCCTAATTAGAAATTTATGTTCAGATCACCCTGTAAAGTTACTTTCTATAGAACCCCTTTTTGGTCTACACACCCAACAACTGAACCCCCTGACAACGCCAGGCAGGGGTATCTGTAATAGCAAATGTTTTTTAAGGAGAATGGACACAGGATGGCGTTTCCATAACTTGTGGCAGGCATTTCATTGCCACCCCAGGTCTTTGTCATTTCTAAACCCTCCTAATTGTGTAACAAGGTAAAAATCTCTCTGACTCTATCTTATTTATAGCCTGCATTTTTTTGTATGGACTTCAAGCAAACAACCTTTGCTATAGTTATGCTAACCATTGGAGGTATTCTCCTTGAGGCTTGAGTTTTTGGAAGAACAGCTACTTGCGGGGTCGGGGGTGGGATGGCGGGGGGGGGGTCTTCCAAGGACAATAGGAAATATGTACAAAATAATAATTATTTATAAAAGATTGGCAGGAGATTCAAGACCAGACTCAGATCAACAGAAGTTGACGGACTGACCAGGGACAGAGATTTAGAGATTTTGTGCTCTTCCTTGGATCTCTGTTGGCGCCCAGATGTCTGTGGTAGCCAGTCACTTCTTGCTCTGCCCATTCCCCCATCCCTTGACACAAAGAAGCCTGAATTCTAGGGTCTCTTAGGATGGACTTGAGGAACCTCTCAGGCCCTCTGTCTTCTCAAGCTGGCACCTTCTTGATCAGTAAAACTTTCTTTACTCCAAACTCTGAGGTCTTGAATATTGGCCTTTTGAAGGATTGGGCACATGAACTTTTGAACTGGTAACACACTGAGATTTTAATATGGCTGTTCCGTGTCCAAGGAAGAAAGATAGTAACCTGTAACCTGTAACAACTTTTGTGAGTTTATTTGAGCCAAACTGACAACAATTGCCAGGAAGCAAAATCTGAACAGATTGAGAAAATGCTCTGGGAAAATGGTAGTTTTGCATCTTATTTTATACATTACAATCAAAAGAAGATCCAAGAGGGTTACATGAAATGCATTGGTGATAAGATTAGGAAGGCAGGAGAAAGCAAAGTGGGCAAACTTCTGGGATTGGATAAAGAGTAAAATGATAGACATTTCTTTTATATTGGTGGATACAAGAGAGTTAGTAGTCAACAGTTACCATGATAACAATGACAATGAGGGGATTTGTGGTCTCTGCTCAGGTGTGGTGCTTGTGCTTTAAGACGTCCTGAAAAAGAAAATTTGACATTCCAAAGGTCTATGATCATAGATGCAAAAAGACAATAGACAGGCTCAATTCAGGTAAAGATCGACTTTTGTCAGAAAAGATTCTAGCCTTTATGCTGCCTGCCATGACCTGCCTTTAGTTAAAAAGTTTTAATTTCAGACCATCCTATGTTTTTTGAGGTCTCTGAGTTTGTAAGTCTGCCATGCAGGCCTCCTCTGAGCTTGTCAGCGTCAGTATGTAACCCCTTTTCACCCACATCTGCATCAGAATCACAAAGGAACGCTCAGTTTGACCAGAGTGCCTGGCTCACCAGGGGCCAGGTGATAGGCAGCTGCCCTGAGTCCTTGGTGTGCATGTCTGGGGCTGCGTGCCTGGCAGCAGCCCCACCCCTCCTGCTGCCTGGAGAAATGAGTCCTAGTCTTGATATCCTGTTTTAGGGTCTGCTCGGCCTCTCACTCTTCCTTTCAAGCATCTCCCAGGGACTCCAGTGGGCTGCACACCCGCCTGCCAATGTCAGCTCAGCCTCTACCCCACCAGGAATTTACCAATCAGGAACCCAACCCTGTTCCCTCTTGCCCAAATTCTGAGCTAGTAAAGACATGCTCGATCTCAGCGCTTATCTGTAAATAGAAGCAAGTGAATTAGGTAATCTCAAAAGTATTTTACAGCTTTAAAGTTGTTACTCTCAGTTTAAAACAAACAAATAGTGACCCTGTTGTAACAGGCTAGATAAGATTCTCCTACAGAATTTATTTTTACGCTGGTATTTGTCATATTTTGGTATAAATACAAATGCTGAAGGTTTTATATTTGCTTTGAAAGCTCAGCCAATGATCAGCAAAATGTTAAGGAATTTAGGAGAAAAGATAATCTGTTAGCCCAAAGAATTTCATATTCTGAAAAAATTGAATATCTCCTAGGAACTTTTGCATGGACTGTGTTGTCTTTTCAAAAAATGGTTTTGACTGTCACTCTAATACAGCCTTAGTTCAGGTGAAGGCAAGTTCCTATTTGATAGGGCTATATGCATTTCAAAGCTAATCAGCATTAAATAATCAGCTGGTAAAAGAAGAGTAAGAGGGTCATTGTATGTACTTTATTATTATGTAAACTCAAGAAAACAAACTGAGAGACTGAGAAAATCCACTCAAATTCTAGCAGATAAGGAAAGTGGCCTGATCAAAATTATAACTAAACTATAGAACGACCATTATTCAGCTGTCAGAAAATTGAGCTGAATGGAAGTTCTACAACTACCAAATTAAAGAAGAAACCACATCAAGACTGGTAGGAGGGGCAGAGATATGGAACAGGCTGGTCCCACACCCACATGTGGTAGATGAAAATTAGGAGGGATAGCTCAGGAGTGAGAGGTCCCAGTTCTACAGCAAGCTCCCTAGCCCATGGTACCAGGGCCAGAAGATAAGTCTCTATAACTTCTGCCTGTAAAAACCAGCAGGGACTGAGGCTGTTGAAGACAGAAACTTCTAGAATCCAGGCAGTTCCTCTTAAAGGTCCATGTGCAGACTCACTCAGACTCACTCTGAGCTCCAGCATGGGGGCAGCAGATTGAAAAGCATCAGAGACATACAGGGAGGAACTGAATTGTCTGGCACCAGGGTGAAAGCTGGGGGTCAGCTTTCTCCCAGACAGAAATGCTGGCAGACGTCGTTGTTCCCTTTCTGAGCCCTCCCCACACAGAGCCACAGAACTG